CATATTAATTACAAAATGTGTTGCATCTGAGTCTGGTTCTGATGCTTGCTTTCTTAAAAATTCAAACTGCCTTTTCTAATGTCTTGTAATTTATATTAAAAGTTAGACAGATGTTACCAAGTAATAGGAATTTGGGTAAATGGTTTCTTAGTGTGAGGTTTCATGTTGATTTGTCAAGGGTTGTGCTCCATTTAATGTTTACTATAGCTGTAGGTGACAGAGACATAAAATTCTCCTGGTGTTCTTACTTTTTCTCCCATTTTTTTTTTGATATCTCAAAAAACTCCTCCTTAGTTTAAATCTGTTCCTTGCATCTCCTTTCACTGTAATCCGCGGTTGTTCTGATGCCTTGGTTGTGTTGTGGTATGCGGGGGGAAGCATTTTATATTATGATAAAGTCTCAGTCTTTTAGTGGGTCTATGTCTTAGTGTATGTCTTTGCTTCTCTCACTTAGATGAGACAGAATGATTGGAGGGAGCTGGAGTTGGGAACGTCCCTTCCCTCATGAGATGTGAAGTTCTGACTAAGTCTTTTATTTTGGAGAGTGTACCTTTTTTGTGGATAACGCTCTAGGTGTATTTCACATTGGTTATTTTCTCTGTCTTCATGCCAGAGCACTGAGGGGAATCTTTCTTGGCGTTTTACCATGAGGATCTGGTGGGGTTTCTGGAGATAAAACCCATGAAAGTATGCGGGTGCCCCTAAGACTATGGGCTCTAGGAGTTTCTCAGTCTTAATCTAGACCACAATCAGCCTCCAGCAATTTGTCAAGTGTTTCTACCATTCACCGCCTCTAGTGGCTGCTGCTTCAGGTAAGCAGATCTTGGCTGTAGGTTTTTGGATTCACCTGTCTCCCCAGATATCAAGGTAATGATTTGCCCTGCAGACTCAGTTCTCCGATAATTCCAAGAATATACTAATTTTCAGTTTGTTCAGTCTTCTTTCTTATTGCAGGGACAAGGGTGATAACTTTGAAGTTTTTTGCATATCAGAGCTAAAGCCAAAAGTCCTAAAGTTCCTCTGATATTTCAATATTTTTGGTTTTCTCATTTTTCCTTCTCAGATTTTCACTATGGTGGTGAAGGTCAAAACTGATACTAATTATGATGGTAAAAGCAAAGATAAAATAATAGTTTTTAAAAAATTGTATGGTACTGAGAATATGAACAGGGAGATATTTGGGTTGTTGAATAGTTGAGTGAATGGGAATTTATCTTTCTATCTTTTTTATTGGTCTAGGAACCACTTCTAAGAATCACTGATTGAAAAATATTGGGGCAGGTTGGTGTAGATCAGGGATTGGCAGGTTTTCCCCAGAAAAAGCAGATAGCAAAGAGTTTAGGCTTTGCAGGGCATGCTTTCTCTGTTGCATTTACTCAGCTCTGCAGTTGCAGCACAAAAGCAGCCACTGATAAAACTTAAATGAGTGTGACGGTCTTTTGGTAAAAGTAAATAGACACAGACTGTGGGCCAGATTAGATTCAAGGACCATAGTTTATCAACTTGAGGTCTGGACCAATAGTTTTTCATTTTTCCCCACATCTCTAATCAAGTCCTGGTTATCAGTAGATGGTGGCCATGTTTTGTTTTCATATTGTTATGAACATATTTTATCGTATTCAGGTATTATCCCATGTTGGGATGAACATTTTCATATGTTAGTCAGAGGTGTTCTAAAAATCTTTAGGGTTAAGAATCATGAGTTTATTAAAAACTATCTCAAAGTTGCCATGAAAATGTGATTCTTGTTTACTGAGAACGATAATGACAACAAAAAAATACGCTGCCATTGTGTGGTATGTTAATTTAAAAATAATTCTGTTTTAAGTATTTCACCTTATGTAGGCATGGCATGAATTTATGTATGTATGTATATATGTATGTATGTATGTATGTATGTATGTATGTAATTATGAGTTGGAGTCTCACTCTTTCACCTAGACTGGAGTGCAGTGGCATGATCATGGCTCAATGCAGCCTCAAACTCCTGGGCAGAAGGACTGCCTAAGCCTCCCAAGTAGCTGGAACTACAGGCACGCATCACCATGCCTAGCTAATTTTTTTAGAGACAAGGTCTTGCTATGTTGTCTAGGCTGGTCTTAAACTCCTGGGCTCAAGAATTCCTCCTGCTTCTACCTACCAAAGTTCTAGGTTTACAGGTGCACCTGGCCAGGTATTTTATTGCATTTTATTTTGCTTTTTTTTTTGTTTTAAAATTTTATTTATTTATTATTTAGAATCATGGAGTACCCATGAAGGATTGTTATATAAGTATATTGCATAAAGGCGAGATTTGGATTTCTGATGAGCCCTCTCCCCCAGTAGCGAGTGTGGTATCCAATGGTTGTATCCTTTATCTTCCTTCCTTCCCACCCTTCTTTAGCAATGTCCAGTGTCTGTTGTTCTGTCCTTGTGCCTGTGTGTGCCTAATGTTTATTGCCCACTTATGAATGAGGACATGTGGCATTCAGCTTTTTGCTTTTGTGATAATTCACTTAAAATGATAGTCTCCAGTTGTGTCCGTGTTGCTGCAAATAGCATGTTTTTATGGCTGTGTAGTATTCCATAGTGTATATTACCACATTTTCTTTATCCAGTCTACCTTTGATGAGCATCTGGATTGGTTCCATGATTTTGCTGTCGTGAATAGTGCTGTAGTAAACTTACAAGTACAGCTGTCTTTTTGGTAGGATGATTTGTGTTCCTTTGGGTATAATCCCAGAATTGAGATTGCTGGGTCGAATGGTAGCTCTGTTTTTAGCTCTTCTAAAAAACCTCCAAACTGCTTCCCACATTGATTAAACTGGCTTACATTCCCACCAACAGTGCACAGATGTTCTCTTTTTTTCTGCAGCCTCATCAACACCTGTTGTTTTTGACTTTTTAATAACAGCCATCCTGAATATCGTGATATGGTATCTCATTGTGGTTTTGATTTGCCTTTTTCTGATGGCTAATGATAAAGTATATAAACTGGAAGGGATCTTAGAGATTATCCATGTAAGGATATGGCAAGAAGGTGGCCGTCTGCAAACCAGGAGTACCCTCACCAGATGCTGAATCTGCCAGCACCTTGATCTTGGACTTCCAAGTCTCAAGAGCTGTGAGAACTAATGTTTGTTGTGTGGGCTACAGTTTATGGCATTTTGTTATAGCAGCCCGACCTGAGAACTTGCTAAGACATTTGCCTATCAAGTTTTTAGAGGCAAGAAAACTGACACCAGAGAAACTAGCTGACTTGAGGACCAGTGTGATTTAATAAGAGAATAGTACTGGAAGGTTATAACAGCAGTATGATAGAGTCAACTTGCTTTGGCTTCAGAGAGTTAATTGTTAAAATTTCAGCAATTTGCGTGAACCAGTTATTAAATGCATTTACAATGAAAAATTATATATAAACTCACAAATTGTATTAAAAGTATTACATTTTCAAAGTTCATAACTTACTAATTATTTTACTATATATTTTTGTTATCTATGTTCTTGAAGTTACTTACATCTAGTATATCTGCATGATGGAAATGTTATATAATGATGGCTTGCTCAATCCTTATTTAGTGATATCACATTGCCTTAAGAATGGCCACAGGCAAGTATTTACACCATGGAAATTGGTAAATGTTACAAATAGTATGTCTGTTCTTACCCCTGCTGGGTCCTGAAACTCAAGCCTTTGATTAATATTTAATATACTTGTCTGCTTATGTATCTGGTTTTGTTGCATGACTTTGAAATATGAGGTTTGGAACTTATATCCCTAACATCCAGCACGATACTTGGAGTAAAGTTGACAGACAGATGTTTTTAGTCGTTTATTCCTTGATTCAAATCCTGGCTCCGTCACTTACCTATCTGTGTGACCTTGGTTATTTTAACCTCTGTTTCTTATTGAAAATGGGAATAATAATGTCAACCTTTCATGATTGTTGTGGGGATTAATGAAAAGACCTAGACATGTGTCTGGTGCATAGTAGGTACAAAAAAGTTGATTTTTATTATAACCTAAGAAGTAGACATAAATGCCATTAAGGTCCAGATTTGTACTGTATGCAGAGTTTTCTATTAAGTAGTTGACCACAAACTGGATGAGAATCAAGAATGTGGTACTGTTATTTTGTGTGAGTGCGTATACTTTTTCTCCTTCCCACACAAAATAATGGGATAAATTAAAAGGAATATGATATATAAGAGGCAGGAAGCAATCCCTTTGTTGTATTTGGCTTTACTAGACTCTTATTACAGTATCATGTCCAGTTTTACATTGCTCATTTTAAAGAGGATGTCAAAAAACTATATGTAGTGTGTCCTGGGAAGAATCAACAGCTATGATTAAAGGGATGGAAAATAGGCCCTTTGAGGCAAGTTTAAGGAACTGAGTTTGTTTACTTTGGAAAGGAGACGATAGAGGAGTTACTTAACTATCTTCAAGTATATGAAGGGTTATTATAAGAAGAATATTCTCAAGTTTTTCTCCACATGCACTGAGGACTAAAGGAGGAAATTGACATTCCATTTGAAGAAAATTGTGTTAAACTGGAATTGGCTGTCAAGGGGTATCATGGAATCTCCATTTTTGAAAATACTTAAAAAGAGTAGCAGCAGATGGTTATTTACTGAAAGTTTTAAATGTTGGACCTCATGAAAGTGAGACGCAGCATTGTAGACTGTGAAGCTTTTTCTATTTCTGTGATACAGTTTTCTTAAATTTATTGTAACTCACTAAGTATATTCCAGATATCTTTTTGGAAAACCACATACAATTTTGATGAAGTTATATTTTAGCTTGTATCACATCTTAATTGCTGAATTTATTTTGAATACAAATATTTGGTATTATCTGCTGGTAGTTATTTTAAGTTAAAGTCAATTTGTATATAAAATACTCTGCAATTGCGTATTTATGCTAAAATTGACATATCTGAAAGCTTAATCAAGAGTATTCATTAAGACTTTTTTTTCAAGTAGTGCATTGCAAACACTTTGTAACTCTTTTGTGACAGGGAATCCTCTTGGTATATGATATTACAAATTATCAAAGCTTTGAGAATTTAGAAGATTGGTGTACTGTGATGAAGAAAGTGAGTGAGGAGTCAGAAACTCAGCCACTGGTTGCCTTGGTGGGCAACAAAAGTAAGTTGTTACTGCTTATTTATGTTTGGTAAAGTTCATTTCTTGTTATGAACTAGATGTTTGTATTCCCCACCCTCCCAGTTTATATGTTGAAGTCCTCATCCCCAGGGTGATGATATTGGAGGAGGGGGTCTTTGAGAGATAATTAGGTCATGAGAGCAGAGTCCTTATGAATGAGATGAATGCCTTTATAAGTAGAGACATGGAAGAGGTGACCTCTCTCTCTTTCTGCCATGTGAGGATATGGAAAGAAGGTGGTCATCTGCAAACCAAGAGGAGTGTCCTCACCAAATCCTGAATCTGCCAGCACCCTGATCTTGGACTTTCAAGTCTTGAGAGCTGTGAGATCTAATGTTTGTTGTGTGGGCTATAGTTTATGACATTTTGTTATAGCAGCCCAACCTGAGAACTTAACAAGACATTTGCCTATTAAGTTTTTATATTTAAAAAAAGATTTCATATTTGGAGGCAGCTTTTCTGAAGTGAGCAAATTGTTTGAGTAAGAAATTCCTAACAGTGTGCACAATTTTTTCAATAACTGTTTTGATACATGTGGTCTATCATAACTACTCTGCTGCTTTGGCCAATTCCTGTGAAGGTAAGTTTGGTTCTGACAGTGTGTGTTTTGGTTTTCTGTGGCCTAAGGAAGCAGCATGGACTATTAAGAACAGCAGCACAGCTGCAGGTTTTATGATGTTGCATTGCAGTTTCAGCTCTGTCCCAGAGGTTTCGTGAGAGATGTTTCATTAAATGAGCCCCTATTTTAGGGAAGAAAGCACTATTACATGGAATTTTATTTGCATGGTTCTTTGTTTCTATCTTTTAAAAACTTCTTTTTCTGATTTTTTTTTGGGTTTGTTCAGGTATACAGATAATTTTTTTTAAAGAATATATTAGGGAGAGGAGCAATTTTTGGTAAAAAATAGGGACTAGTAATTTTTGAGATGTGTCTTTTGGGCTATGATGTATATATAACATAAAATCATAAAACTGAACTCAGTACAAGATTGTTATTTGGCTCCTACTTGTGCAGTGCAGTTACTTGGAAAAAGAGACATCAATAAGGGTTTTCAAATGCAGTTATGTTCACTTAATGATGAGATACGTTCTGAGAAATGTATTATTAGGCCATTTTGCCGTTGTGTGAACATTTATAGAGTGAACTTACATAAACCTAGATGGTCTAGCTTACTACACACCTAGACTACATAACGTCGCCTATTACCTCTAGGCTACAAACCCATATAGCATTTGCTGGGTTGAATACTGTAGGCAATTGTAATGTTATGGTATTTGTGTATCTAAATATAGAAAAGGTACACAAAATATGGTGTAAAAGCTCCATTATAATCTTGTGGAACCATCATTTGATATGCATGCAGTCCATTGTTGATGGAAACATCATTTTGCAACACATGACTGTATATGAAATATTATGATATGGCATGATCTTCTCCAACTTATTTGAGGTCAGAAAAGAGAAAATGAATTTAAATTATACCATGGAGAATTTAGGTTCAGGAACTGTTTCCTGACTATAAGCATTGTTAAATCAATACCTATGTTTACTACCAAGAGAATTAACTTTTCCAAAGATCTTTAAAAGCACAGTACATTTTTTTTCTGTAATTGTTTAGGAAACAGTGCTTCCTGAAGGACCAAACTAAGATTTCTGCATTATATAGTTTTGCACACTGAAATGAGTATTGAATAAATTCAAACTTTAATTTAAAACAATAGTGAAATGGGTGTGAATATAATTTTTCTGAAGAGTTAAACATATAGACATTATCATACTCTCTGGAAAACAGTATTACATATCATAAAATTTCATGGCTTGGGCAGAAATTGTAGCTTTTTTTTTTTAACCTTATTTAAATTTTGCTCTCCTATTTTGTAAATAATTCTTTTTAATTGAGTGAATCAGACACTTCAGTTCATTGAAAATCTTCCTTTACAAATCATGAATTTTGGTGAGCTTAAGTTCTATTTTTGGTTGCAGTTTTTCATTTTAGGAGACCATTTCTTAGTCAGGTGTCATACAAAGCATCGGCTTATATCATGGTTACATTTGTGCTTTATTGGAGGTTTCCCAGCACCTTACGGGAAATTACAGAGTAGAGGAGGGAGAAGGGTTGGGATTTGTTTTGGTTTCTTTGAGGATGTAATGTAACCATTATTCAGGGTAATGGTGTAGTGATGCCTAATTATATACATTATGTTATGTGTTGATGCTAACCTCTGAGGCATCCACCACTTGTTACTGTCAAAGGCAGGATATCAGACTAGATGGGCTATTGGACTAGGATGATGGTGCCATGCCTGGTTTTTAAAAACAAATATTTATATAGGTTGTTTGAATTTATGCAAAAACCTAATACACTGTTATGTTTGAGATTTAATAGCATGAAAGTCAAGAGGTTTTTTTCACTTTTTTATAACCTCCTTCTTTTATATATTTATAATACCCCCTTTTAGAATGCAATCATATAACAGAGTATGTAGTCACATAGCATGTTATATATGTAAAGTGAAGAGATTATAGGTGAATACTTCCCTGAATATGACTTACTGCATAATCTGTCACTGGCCCAATTTCATGTGTTCACATAATGAAAGACCTTCTGCAGTTAAGCCTATTAGGGCTTTAACTCATGAGTTCCCTGAATATTTTATGATCTCTGTTTTCAAATTGATGTTATGTTAGTATAATATAGTAGTATGTACTTATTTTATTTTGGGGGGATGTAGTTATATTAAAAAGCAATCAGATTGACAAAGCCTTTTTGCATTGGTTAAAGATAAAGAGACACATAATAGAAAGACATCTGAAACTGGATGATTATGCTCATTGGCTAAACATAGTCATCTTCTGCCTAAATGTGCTTTTAAAAAAAATCATTGTGCTCTAGTCTTTGAAACTTAAATAGAAGGCACTTGTTAAAAAGAAATAGGCATAGACTGTGAAAATATTAGCAGCAGGAACCAGCTTTTCATCAGAGTTAGTAGAAGGAGAGAGAAAGAGAAGGAGTACGTGTTTCCATACAAGGAGTATATGTGTGTGTATGTGTACACATGCACACTTATTCCATACTAAGAGCTTATAATCAGTAACTTACAAGATTATTTTCTTTTAATTAAAGTGTAATAAACTCTCCAAAATTTGAACTGAGGATAGAGGATAGTCTTATATAAAGATGAGTTGTGGGCTTATTTTTTCAAAAAATTGAGGTTTGTTATGTTTAAATATACAGAGCAACTAGAGTAGGTTAGTGAAATGACCAGTGGAGGAAGAGATGTGTTTTAATGAAAAAAGGGATTGATAGTAAGTATATTAATTATTTCAAAATATAATTCTTTAAAACATACAACTACTAAAACAAATTAATTCTATATTCTGTCAGATGGCAATTAGTGTTATTTCTTTGTACTGTTTAAGATATTAAATGAAGTATCAAGTAGTGATTAAGGCCATAGAGCATTGGATTTAGATAGACTTTGCTTACAAGCCCACTTTCTTCGATTAAGAGCAGCATGACATTAGACAAGTTACTTTACATCTTTAAGCCTCAGTTTCTCCATGTCTGGAAATAAGGATAAATGTTTCTGTCTGATAAAGTTGGTTTAAAGATTAAATGAGATATTGCACAAAAAACACTGAACATGTGATCTTTTGCATAGTAAATGCTCAGTAACTATATGTTATTGTTAATAATAATAATAGCCTTTTAAAAGTAGAGTATAGATAGCTTCATCTTGAATTATTACAAGTTAGTAGGGGTGAAACAGGTTTCTTATGAAACTTTCCTGGAGGAAATCGTTCTTAGAGAATTCCTTTGTCACAATCTTATCTCCTCCCCCCCCGATTGATAGCTCTCATATTATGTGTTGGGTAGGACCATTCATTTAACAAACATTTTTTAGTATCAGCTATGTGTATTAAGCTAGTCATTGTTAGTGTGCTCAAAGGTTGTGTCAATTGTGAATCCCAAAGGAGTGATTGGAACCTACCAACCTAGGTCTCAATTTTATTCTTTTTCTCTGACATCTTCAAGTTTATTAAACATTTGACTGCTTTCTTTTGCTCTGTTGTTGAAACTTTTAAATATAGTTATTAATGTCAGCGAGATGACTGACTAGAGACACCTGGCACTCATTTTTCCCACAAGAAAAGACCAAGTTAGTGAGTAAACATCTAAGATTTGACTGGACTGTTGACTGGAAATTGCTTGAGTGCAACAAGGGAATGGAGAGTCACCTGTGATGATTGGAAACACAGGAGGGCAGAATGGAGCCCTATATCTGCCTAGATCAGAATGGCTAGAGACAGGAGAGATATCTTTTTGTAAGGTTCAAGGTAAGCAGAAGATCCTCACCAGCCCCCATTGCCTCTGCAGATACTATATTTCTTATTACAGGACAGTACCACAGTCCTGAGCTGAGTTTAGAGAGCTGCCAGGAATTCACAGAGCTGCATTGCTCTGGATTGGAGCTCAAGGTGTGTGCTCCCAACCCCCTGCCACTCTTTGTGGGGCCAGCTACTGCAGCACAGTGCCATCTTGAGAACAGAGCCACTTCTGTAGTGTGCCCTTCTGTAGCCCTTGGGCTCCGTCTTCATTTCACCAAGCCCACATGGGTGGCTGAACACCACAACCCCAGGTTCCTGAAGCCTGGGCCCAGGATTGGCTGTGACTCTAGTCTTGCACAACAGGAAAGCCAGCCCTTGCCACTTGCACTTCAAGCTGGAGGAATGAAAAATCTGGCAGTCCTTCTCAGGCCAAACTGCCCTTGAGCCAGCTAAACTACTGTGCACCCTCTCTCAGGAAAAGAAGTCCCTGAGCCATTGAGCAACTGACATGCCCACAGGCCCATGGAACAGCTCTATGCCTGGACTCAGGGCCTAAGAAACAGCCCCATGGGGCCACCGCCCAAAGCAGACATGTTCCCAGGCCAACCAAGCAGCTGTGCATCTGTGTCCTGGGTCTGGGAAAAAGCCCACG